TTGAAATATCATACCTCCGATTTGGTTTAAATATATTCTTACAATATCTCTTTCAGAAATTAATTTTGTAACTCTTAAGACATGCGAATGAAGGTCCCGGTAACAGTCATAGAACCCTCAACCGAATTCTGACTTGTGACGCGTCAGTCATGGTTAGGAAGCAAGGCGGAACTTCGCACTACCCAAGTTGTAATTAGAATTTCGAACTCCGGGATGTACTACACGACTATTGGATTATTTTTAATTGTACTCACCCCGACTTCTCGAGTTCCTTCTTAGAGACGCAGACGGCGGTAAATGTGTCCTTCAAGAGGCACAAATCCTTCTTTTTGCAGTTCAACGGACGACACAGTTCGCCTAAAACAAAAAAATATTTATCGTTATTAAAAAATTGAATATAGGAAAATACATGAAATATTAACGAAGTTATTAAAAAAGTTTCTTGTCGTTCAAATCACGTTTTTTAAATTGATATCATAAATGTTTTATGACATTTCAGTTTAAGGGAATTTTTGACAACCCTTTGGCAATAAATTTCAATCCGAGGTATTTCAACGAGATCACGAATTGCTCGGTGGAAAAACAAGAAGTGAGGAGTGGAAGGATAAAAGCCAGGATTTAAGAATCCCCGAGGAACGGTATTTCCCGATTGTTAACGCAGCTGGATATTAAAATACGGGGCAAATTTCGCGTACGACAGCCAGAATTAAACTATAGCGTTCGGAGTCACGATCGACGACGTGGAAAAATTCACGGGGGCCCGTCCTCCCTTGCCACTCGTCGATATTGCGCCGTAATCCGACGGGGCGCGGCGTATTGACGCTGCGGAACGCGGCCACTTTCCCCCATATTAAATTTTAACATCGCTTCCGTCGCGACGCGTTCGTTGAATATCTGATTTCTTCGCGTTTCACGATATTCCTACCGGGGAATTCGATTTATGCGAGGCGAGGCCCTTCGAACGGTGATTTCGCTAATTCAATAGATAACACGGAATCGAGTAGCAATATGTTAAAACGATTCTGTATTATCTGCATTGATAAAAGTTTTAGGACACTTTCAAGTGCTGATAATCTATCGAAAAATCTGATGCAAAATCAAAGAGTGAATCACGAATAGTTTCAATGAAATTCTACGTCAAATGAAAAAGTATAACAAGTCTACGAAAAATCGACTCGATGCTGATTGAATATAATTTCCAGTTTCTATTATCTCGTACAGAAAGAGAATACGCAATGCGATTTCAATTATCCGATTGTACACGGTTCAATTTCGCTGACCCAACTAAACGCCGCCGTCGCAGTCTCGTTTCATCCCGCTGTACAAAGTCTAGTTTCCAGGTCCCGAGCTACACGTGTACGGATCTATTCTACTACACGGTCTGGCTGTACATTAGGTTGTTCTACTTCAGAAGAGGAACCCGCCGCCGTGTTTAATACACTTGAATGGACTCGTGGATATTAACATTCTACGAACCGACTGCGCACGTCTCTTCTTCGTGCCAATGCATTTTACTCGCATCGAAAAATAGTGTCACCGTTTATCCAATGACCTGTTTCTCGACGAAGCTTCCACTGTAATGCACACTCATCTACGATTCAGATTTCTTAGCAATTTAGATTCTCGCCCATTCGATTTCTCTTTTACAAATTGTGTAACAAA